GTACTGTACCACATATCTTTGTTAGTAGGTATATGTCTGACATTCAATCAAATTCAATCTACCATAGATCTTGAGTCAAATTCTGCCATAATTATGTCTTTTATATAAAAAAAACAACTGCCTCACAGATATCTAAATAAGTAATCCTAACATTTACTTTATTAATTTGCATTTCTAACCCACTTTCGGGCAAGTTTGTTGTTTTAGTTTTGTTTAGTTTTTATACTAGTGTATCTTCTTTTTCTTTTATTCTGAATGTTTCTGACATGGAATGACAACCATGCTTTATTGTACTTAGATCTATGTCCATTCTTAGGATACGACTTCAAGAAAGACTATTATTATTATTATAACAACAAAAATATTTAAGATGAAGTGATGTTAGCAATGTTAGTAAAACCTCTAAATGTATATTGAAATCACGGTAATATTAAATCAATATGAATTAATAATATTATTTACAAATTCTGTGTTGTTTTCAGGGCATCAAACACACGGCTTATTTTGGTTTTATTTGTCGAGAGAAGACTTGTAACAGTAATTACATGTGTTATGTTTTTAAATGTCACTCTGGGGCCATGGTAAGTATTTGCTCTGCTAATGAACTATATGTAACCACAGGCATCTTGTGCTAACCTTGGTTCAACCTCTAGAAAAATGTGTGACGTGTTTCCTGCTGTGTTGCAATATTGTACATGGGTTTGTTGTTTCAATGCAATGCAGGTCTACAAAATACTGATTAGTTCCTAAAGACTGAGGGTTACTGTGGATCTAACAACCACTGATTGGATTGAGATGATGTGGATTTTGATTTGTGTTTCATATTTTTATGATCCCTTGATTACAAATTTTCACTTTGTTTGGCAACTTCCTCAGTTTTCACCTGATGTCTATCTCCTATGAGTGATGTACAATTGCAGGGTTTAAGTTTTGGAATTGTCCATGTATGTAAGGGTGCCTCTAGAGGGTAGTTGCGCGTGCAAAAGGTGAGGCGCATTTTTGTCTATCGCGCAAATCAGACTTACGCGTGGTATTTAAATTTAAGAACAAATGGAATGTACGCGTAAATCAGACTTACGCGTACGCGTAAATCAGACTTACGCGTGGCATTTAAATTTTATAACAAATGAAATGTACGCGAAAATCAGACTTACGCGTGACATTTAAATACAGTTCAGATCAACTAAAATCTACTACTAGCACTGTACTGTGGAGAGATGAGTTCTATGTGCTTTTAAAAGGCAAAAATATGTATTTAAAAACAAATCAACATCAGACTTTCGCTTGGGATTGTAATCACAATCCATTGGTTTCCATTCACAAGCCGAAACACAACTATACTCCTCAACTATAGGTGTGAAAGAACGGCGTCTTCAGAAAATAACTAGGGCGACTCCCGAGAAACAAAGCGAAGCAACGCAGATTGGGTGGTCGATAGTCAGAAAAAAAAAGTATTCCAGTTTGTGGTCGGAATGAAACAAACATATGGTAATAATCATGGGATGTAGAAGGGGAGACGAATCGAAAAAAAATCGCTTCCCCCATAGGAAAATATAAATCTCCTAAAGCCAAAAGCATCATAGGATGAGATGCTCGAGTACTGGCTAGCGCCACGTTCCGTTTTTTTCGGCCCACACTAAATCCGTTCAAGACTCGAACGATATGTTTCGTTATTGTTTGAGCTTGAAACTGAATAAAAACATGTTATGTTGTTTCCTGGAGTATTTGAAAATACTAGTGGACCGATAAGTTACAATAAAGATGTATTTTTACACAATAGTAATGCCATTACGGTGTGTGTGAAATATGCTAGAACCCTGTTAATAATAATAATAATAAATTTTACAAGGTTTTGTGACTTGGTCGTGTTGTGTGATTTAGAAGTAAATTCTTCTCCGTAAAGCTTCTAAATGCTTCGCTTTGTTTCTCACCTT